TCATAAGTACTTACATCAAACGCATCGTTTCAAGCTCGCAGGAAGATAAGTATAATCACAATCGTAACGTAATTCTAAAGCGTTGATAAGTGTTTCTTCCATACTTCAAGTTCTTCGTATTCACGTCTATCTGCCTCCTTTTCTCTTCTTCTTAAAGAGGCCTTCATTTTCTTAACAGTGCTTACCTATCAGTTGGCAGCAAGTGGGCGGTCGAAGCCTATCAACTCTGTCGCTGTACCATTTGTATGAGTAATGCGTGCAAATTTTGTCAAAAAAATTAACCTGAATTGAAGTCTAAAGTTTCTCCACAAAATTTCTACCTAGTTTCGAAGCGACTTATTAGGTGCCAAGTAATTTTTTTTACCTCGGCATTTTTAGATTTTTTACAAAACCAAAACAAAATCAGTCTGGTTATAAATAAAAAATAAACACTTTTAGTTCCTTTAGATTCTGCAACGCCTAAAAATTAATTGCTGTTTGCGTTTTAATCCATTCTATTCCATATTTGTACAATATTTATTTTCTAGAGTTGTAGCAATTTTAGTTAGACCTTCACTTGCCTTATCTTCCAAGATCTTCATCTAAATCAGGCTCCATACTGGTTGTTCACAATACTGGCGACAAAGCTGAAAATTCTCTTCTTAAATATCATGCTATCATAAGCACATTAGTATAGGGGCAAATCTCACGTGTTGTTTTTCTTAGTATCCCTTCCTTCTGTCGGCAGGAAAAAAACGCTAAAGCATTCTTCTTGCACTTACATAAATCAATGGAGTTCCAGAAATAAGTACAATGAAATATGAATTAAGTATTCGAACCAGTTTAGCCTTAGAACATTTATTTAGGCGCAAAACTACAGAAATTACTAATTTTTCATGGACACACGAAAATATCGGAATTGTTTTTTTAATAACGAAATTAAAAAAAAAATTGCAGCATGCAGAATATCTCTCGCAGCTATTTGGCAATTTTTTTAAATTTGGCGATTTTGTTCTCATTTTAATAATTTTAGATACTTCAAAATGTTCAAAGTAAACGGTGAAAATGTTCTTTTTGCTAAAACGAACGAATTTATAATGATAAAAACATAAGATCATTGAGAGGCAGTCTGAATATAAAAGTTCAAAGCTCAACCTCACACACTTATCATCATTTTCGATCTCTAACATTAGCAGTTGTGAACAATTTAATTTTTTAACCGACTTCACAAAAAGGAGAAGGTTATCAATTCGTCGGAATATTTTTTTTTGTATGTAACCGCATAACCTTGGACCTCGGTAACCGATTTCTATGATTTTTTTTTTTACAAGAAAGGAGTTTAAATCCGATCATTGGATCATGCAAAAATTAACGATAATCTTAAAGTTGTATATGAGAATTGAAATCGGTTTTGTTTTTTGCTTTAAAATTACTTGTTTATTTTCAACATTATATGATTTTAAAATGCTTGTAAACTTCAAAAAAAAATCATGGCCGACGAATTGAGAGAATGAATTTACCTTGAAATGTTTTGATCATGGAATTTAGTGTAATAAAACTCGTATGTCACCAAATGACCAAGAACACATCGAGTTAAATATTACTGTGATTCGAAAAACTAAAATTCCATTTTAATTAGCAAACTCGAAATTATTCTAAAATTGGTATATATGTGCATTCGATGACCATCCGTACCTTACTTCAGAAGACAGTTCTTTTTCCCATCATGATGCCATTTGGCTTTAATTTTGTCCTTTTTTTCAATACTTGTCATTTAAAAAGACTTTTTTCCAATACGATGTCAGACATAATGCATTTCATATGTTATAACCTATTAGATACAAACTTTGAAAAAAGGACAAAAATGTCATACAAATTTAAAAACTCATCCTTGTAATTTGCCGCATCGGGGCGAGTGCATTCACCATTTTTATTAATGTAGTAGAAAAAAGAAAATAAAGAATGTGCAGATTCGCGGCAGGTATTCACCAAAACTAAGTTTAAGTTACGTTGACTGCTACTCTATACAGGAAATTTATTCGACTATCACTAGCGTGGCCCGCTGTGTACCTTATCTTATTTTCCCGTACACAGATCAGAAGGTTGTGAATACTCAAGGATTTTTAGTGCGCTTGGCATAGATAAGAGATGCTTTTGCCAGGACGACCAATAAAAAGAGATCTAAGCCATAGTTTGTTTGAAGATAATTTGCTTGATGGCATGTGGAGTAGGATTGAATGACTACCGATTAATTCCTTTCCCTGCCACCTCTTTCGCAATTCTATTTCTAGAGATATTTCTGTGCCTAGGAACCTGGATTACATTCTTTCTGCTCTTGAATTGCTGCCTTCGAAAAGGCATTGCTACAGTGTAGATATTGGGCTTGATGCATGAAAAGTGAGCTTAAGCTCCGACTCGATTTTCAGTACAAGTTCTTGAACTTGAACTCACTTCAGCTTATGTGGCACCACAGTAGTCTGGTAGATGCAAGCTAATACTTAAAAGTAACTTGCTATTCCGAATGCATGATGTTGCCCACTTTATGATTTAGCTTAGAGCTATCGCTAAAACTTGAACTGGAACTATAGTCTAGCTTTTACGCTGTACATTTCGCTCCCAACGGGAATTCTTTTCGAAAAACTTACTTTCCAAGCAGGAAAGTATGATTTTTGCCTAGTACCATTTCAGTTAGACTGGAGTTTGTCGTTAGAAGATTATTTTTAAATAATATGACCTTTAAGTTCAGGCGTGCGAGTAAACGTGTACGATTCCTGCGTATGGTGCAACGGTGCGTATACGTTACATAAGCAACTACGGGTATATGAGCATGAGTGGTTGTAGTTTGGTTCCTCAACTTTTCTGGACAAAACCTGTAAAACTGTCAAAAAGCAAAATTGCTCTCAGAGAAAGAGAGAAAAAAAAGTACGGGATCGCATTGCGGGTAAAAACTGGTAAAACTGTCAAATACACCCTGGGCGCCATTTTTCGTTTACATGGCAGTGTTTTATCATTTGGCGATCTGGTAAATTATACGCAAATACACAAGAAATTAACAAAAATACTTTCAGAACTTGATATTTCTTCGTTACGATGTATTTTATAGGGTGAAAATTCAGATGTACTTTTGCTTTTGCTTATTCAACTTTCAAATCGTTTGAACAGCTGATGGTTTGACAACTTTACCAGCAGAAATTCTTAGGGTAAAATCTTGCAACTTCTTCCAAAGATAGGACCAATTTTACTCTCAAATTTTTCCCCTACTTTGCCAGATAACCGAATAAGGGAACGCAAATTATTTACTTTTTTTACTACCTACATATATATGTAATGTAAAATACGTTTTTGTCGAAAAATGTAAAAAATCATGAGATTTGCTCATATACATTCATGATATGTACACATATATATTCCTATTACCATTTAAATTCACTGCGCTTATTAAACGTGCAATTTTAAAATTTTTTCTTACAAGTTTTAATTTATTTAGTTAAATAAATCACAAAAACAAGATTTAATGCCACGACAGAAATAATTATAATTAATTTTTAATGCGTTGTCCAACCCCAGAAAAACAAAATCAAAGAAAAACTTTTGAATATTATAGATACTTTTCTGCAAAAAAAAAGAGTAAAAGCGTAGAGTAAAATGTGCATCTGTGGAAAACTTTGTGCTGCAGCCAAAGTTTTGTGACACCAAAAAGTTGCTGTATAGTATCAACTAAAAGCTCAAAAAAAAAAGATAAACAAAAAAACAACAATAAAGACTTTTTAATCAGTGAGAAGTGCAAACGGAACTTTATAAACCTGGCGTACGTATCTATAAAAGATCCACTTTTCTCTTCGTCTTAATTGGCGTTCTAACCGCGCAAGCGATTCAGGGCGAGTCCAACAAAGCACGCCAGTTGTTATTCCACTGTGCCATCTTACACCAACTGGAAATGGCAAGTGAAGCCAAATCCTTCTACACTTGATTTTTTCATCGCAGAAAAGACATTCATTTGGAAAATACGTCAAAACTATCTAAACCTTTTGTAACTACTATTCATTATAACATTACATATATTTACCCGTAAAACGCTTAAAAAATTTTTTAATAAAAGTATGTAAAACGCCTGATTTACTACTTTTAAAGAGGATCCTCCTAGTAGTGAGCATATTTTGATGACATATACTTGTGGTCAGCTGATTAAGTTGAGTGAAATTTTTACCAGTTTAGGTAAATTTTCTATTGTTTATTTAATTTTTTATAAAAGTCTAGCACTGTACATAACCAACACCACATAAATCTGCATTTCGAACTTCTTACGAAAATTATAAAAATTCCAGAAACTTTAGCATTTAGCATTTACACCCGAAAATTTTAAGGTGAGCAGTTTTGTAGTCCATTATATTTTAGTAGATTAAAGTGGAAATATTAAAACGCTGGAAAATCGTGTTGATTTTTAATAATTTTGTTTTTGATGGTACTTGGTATTTTCCTCCATATAAATGTAACTGTCGAGCATACTTTATATGGGAGAATATGCTCAAACTACTCAAATTAAGTAATTTTCTATAATCCATTTTATTTATGTGCATATATTTTTTTGATTTATTTTATTCTGAACATGATATACTTAGTACATGTAAACAAAAAAATTATAGACATTATATAGAGACAAAAAAAATAGCCAAAACTGTTCAAATGTCACTTAGCTTATGCTATAACAATAATGTATATTTATTAATAAGAACCAAAATTTTAATACAATTTAACTAATAATTTCTATCCTTCTGATTAAATTTCTTTTCATACTTCGTCACATGCAAATGGGCTTCACAACTCGGTCAACATTGTCATGGTCAATGTCAATAATGTCTGAAATACGATATCAATGGCGGCATTACAACATCATTCTGCTTCTAACAACAAACAAACAAACAAAAAAAAAACCTGCCACTCTGAATGCTGCCAACAACGGCATGTGGGCAATGGCATCGCAAACTGACAAACATGGCGAATATTTGTGTGAATGAACACAGATCCACCACAAGTGACACTGTCGTTGGGCTCAACACTCAAACCGGATGACATTAAAGAAGGCGATGATGTTTACTTTGAGTGCCATATAAAGGCCAATCCAAAGGAACATCGCATTACGTGGTCACATGATGTGAGTTTTACATATGCATACGAGTACATACATAAATGCCCTTTTATGAATATACATACATACATATACATATATGCACGTGGATTTCCTTATATGTAGATGCATACATACTAGAGTGGTTCAAAAAACACTATTCTGGGAAATTTAAAAACGCTACATATTATTCTTTGTGATAAAAAAAAGAGACACGTATTTTTGTATTTTGGAAAAAAAGTTTTTGGGAGGTTGTTGTTGTTGTTTAAACAGCACACAGAATCCCAAAAGAGTACCTGGGTCATTCCGGTTACGTAGACCCGACTGTTTTGGTCGCGCTGGTCGGTTTTTATAAAAAAGCTGATGTAGGTACTAAATTTTTTTCATGTTATGTTGAAATGCAGCTAAAAATATTGTTTTCACATGTAATTACTCAAGCATGGTTGGAGAGCATTGCCTTAATTACATACCTGTATTGGACAAATGGAAAATATGCTTTCGAAAAGAGACTACTAAAATTAAGTCGTTAATACTGAACGGTTTACGCATTTTCATGGATTGAAACTTATTACCAGGGGGTTTATGGGATTGCTAATTAGGAATCTGAAGTCAGTTTTACAAATTAAAAATGGCGGATCCCCAATGGCTATTGGATTTGTTCAAAACTCGGCACTCGGGAGTTTTTGGGGACGCTGATTACGTCAATTTTTAATTTCAAAATGGCGGATCCAATAAATAAAAAACCGACCAACACCACCTCCTAAAAACTTCTTTTTAATAAAAAAATAAGTTTTATTTTTATGACGAATAACAGTGATTTGAGGTAGCGTTTATAAATTAAAAGAAGAAAAAAAAAAAAACAAAAGTTGTTTGAACCACTCTAATACATACATGTCGTCGCTTTAAATGCAAAAAATTGGTAACAACCGTCATCGTTGAAATGCAAAAGGTTATATCTAGTAAAAAATTCAAAACTTCACTTTTTGATTTGTATGATGGACTTCATCGAATTACAACTCCTCACATCATTTTATGAAAAAAAGTAAAATACTTGTCACAACTTTTTCCATTTCATTTACGATGTTGTTACGTCTTTTTGCATTTCAAGTGACGATATTAACGTTATATTTGCTCGATGGTTTTTCTGCGTTTTAGTGCCATTTTATGGTAGGACTAGATTTTTCTTTCAGAAGTATGAAGTTAGCAATATTTAGTAATCAAAGGCCTAAATATGTACATACCTACCAAGGCGCATTTTCATGGAACATTGGGTTAGTTTATTCTTTAATTTGTGGCGTGCTTTTTGATATTTATGAAAGGATTTTTAGTGCCAGAAGTACAGTGCCGAAGGGCGCTTGCAGTTAGAAAACCACTTTTGATCGAACCTGGGCATAAGAGTGGCCACGCACCTCTACCGATTTTGCTACTAAGCTTTTTTTAGGGCACAATAGATCTCTTGGTCGCAGTGCATACCTCTATTAATTATCTACTACGCTTTTAGCTCGTAGTTATTATAAATAAATGCTTTTACAGCTCTTAAAATAAAATGTAACATAAAGTTATAGATTTCAACAAAAACGCCAATATTCAGGATGAACTCTTGCACGTAACTTTATGTTACAATACATCTGAAAATACAATCAAAAATTAAAAATCTCTATTTTTTTGTTGCTAGTGTGACTGAAAAAATGTCAGCGACTTGCTTTTCACGTAACAATAATAACCAAAATTAATTTAGCTGAAGCCTGTGTTAAAAATATACAAAAATTCTAACTACTCGATTAGGCTTTACAGCAGCAAATCCTGTATAATAGCGTACGTTCTGGACATCAGTCACTAGATCGCCATGGGTGCTCTTGCAGAAGGTGGCCCGTGTCTTGAAATCTACCGTAAGTCGCCTAATCCTCCCGATAAAATTTTTGGGCATTTTTACTGCCGGACAACATCGCAAGCTCTACGCACTCTCGTAACTCAGGCTTCTGTCTCGCTTCTCTATACCGCTATAGTTCCCTATAACCATCCCACATGGCTATCATTGCGCCCAATGCACATTGTGGTCCTGTAGGCAGCATATATATACATATTCTCTGCAGCATATCTCTGACTACTTCCTCGGTAGTGGTACTTACTGGGCGAGAAATGTGGTTCCACTGCTCGCATATGTCGGTTTCTCAAAAACTGCCCTCAGCGAGCAGGAGTGGGAGTCTTTGCATTGTCGACAGCACAGAGGGCGCATATCTTGGCTGCAACAAGATAGTGGTCTAAGTTGATGTTCGGCTCTCGGAGTGTACATAGTACATTACAAGCCCGTCGATTCGTGCCTTCCGTCTGTCACAACATGGCTGATTTGGCTTCTCATTTTTTGACTTGAAGCTATGTAGCTTGATGGATCTTTTTATGCTGGAACTAGGCACTAATATGTATCGGGTTCCAGCGAATGTCCGTTATCGGACATATCGTCATGGAGTCTGAATTTTCCGACAGTAGCGCCAAAGATTCATTCTTTTCCAACCAGTGCATTGAAGTCACCAAGCAAGATATTGATATCGGGGCGGGGGCAGCACTCATAGAAGAGATCCTTGGACGCCTCGTCCTTCTCTTTCGCCGGTGCATTGGCGCAGCTGAGCGAAATGTTGGAGAATCTCTCATAGATACGGATTGTGGCTAGACGTGGGGCCACCCCTGGTGAATGACAGTACTCGGCGACGGAGTCTCTCTTCAACCATAAATCTAGCTGTAGTAGACACGTTTTGTGCTTTTCCCGTCCAACGCATTTCTTGGATGGCGGTGATGTAAACCTTTGTCGTCATGAGACAGAGGCAGCTTTCCCATTAAGTATCCGAATATTCCAGGTGCATTCTCTCAAATCATAGTCCTTTAAACATTTGCCGTGTTCGTCATCAAAAGAAGGAGGTCTCATCCGAGGCATGTTGTTTGTTTGCATGGGGCGGGGTAATTGGTAGTCAAAAGCTTTACCCAACGTGAACTTCTGCACACGAAACCATCCTCTACTAACACTGGTATATCTTCAGTGATTGCAATTATTTGTCCACCCTCTGCATTCCAAAGTATTGGAACGAATGCTTGTAGTATGCCAAGGGAGATCAATACCCGGTTGGCGCTATACACACTTGTGAAGATTCACTTGTCATAGAAGACAGAGAGAAAACATGAAATATTAAGTATATACATAAGTAATTGTAAATGTAATACGGGTGGAAAAAGCAGCTAGAATTAGCAAAAATAATTGCAGCAAATTCCTAGAAAATCTTTTGTTCCGAAAACTACTAAAAAGCAATAACTTTATATTTAATAATAATTTTATAAAGATATTTCAAATATAAAAGCTTTTTTCTTAAAACGTAATCAACAATAAATCACCTTGACTATGGAAAACCTTTCTCTGATAAAAAGCTTTTAAAGCACTCACTCTTCATAAATAAAACGAAAAATGACTCGAACTCACAGACTTTACTGCAACACAATTGCTTATGCACTAACGTATGAGCACTAAGAGAATACAAATAGGTACAAGTACATATATATATATACATACATACACATCTACGTACATATGTAATAGCTGCAATCCAGTATTCGGTCCACACGAACGCCAGATGAAACACACATAAAGAAAAGACTAAAAAATGCTTAATAATAAGAGGCGCAAATACCACGACGAATGCAATTTAACCGCCCACCCACAGACCTGAGTAAGCTGCTCACATTTCGTGCGTTGCCGCTGCTTCCTATTTGTTTTTGTTTTTGTTTTTTTTTTTTTTTGTCACATATTTGGTTTTCGGTGTCGGAAAATAACTACTCACATTTTGCCTACGGGTAAAACAGCTCGTATAAATGCAGTTATTATTCATTTTATGACAAATTTCCAGTGCATTTTCATGGGAGCAAGAAGCAGCTCACACTGGGGCACACAAATGCAGCACCGACATGTGCTTTCATACCATGCATGTGTACATTAGGGTGATCCACAAATGCATGTGAAAAAAGTAGAGACCGAATTTTAAAGCACTAACTGCCTTGGATTATTTTATATCGAAAAAAAGTACACCTGTTTTTTTCCGAAAACGAAAAATATTTTTTGGTCGCTCAAAGCGCTCAAAGTTTTCCGTGTATTTTATATGGCTATACATTTATTATTTTTCGTGAAAATGGTATAGAATTCCTAAAAATCCATATTTTGTTTCTCTTCAGGTGACTTCTAAGAATAATACGAAATTGCTTATTTTAAAACTTTTTAATACAAGCAACTTATTATGGGTCTCCAAATTGCGCTTTTTCTGGTTTTAGTGGACTTATAAAAACACTTTTTACCAAAAAATGGTTAAATAAACAGTTGGGTATTATTACTGGAAGTCTCCTGAAGAGAAAGAAAGTTTTAAAATCGAAAAACATTGGTTTTAACGAAATGTTTTTTTTTTATTTCACATAATTGTTTCGATATAGAACAATCCGAGGGGCTAAGGGAATTAAAATTTCGACTTTACTCTTTTTTGCCACCCTAATGTACATAAATACGAATATAAAAATGTCCATACATATATGTATGTATGCAGGGAAATGCAACTGTGTGCGCATAGCTGAAAGCTGCGTTATATTAACGGATGTGCACGTATGCCTTTGAAGTCGGTTGCCAGCACTATCGGCTGAACGTGCATACATATGTATGTATGTATGTACCTATGTAAATAAAAAAATAAGTATAGATTTTACACATTTGTTAAACACACCTACATAGTGTTTACTGGCTCACATCCATTCCTTCGTATGTTTTTTTTTAAGATATTTTAAATGCCATCGTCCCTTGAGTATTTTTCATAAACCCACATGTTTCTTTATTTTACACACATATGCGTCGACTCTTGTATAAGCATGCATATTTATAGACGCGTATTTGTATTCTTGTATTTATGCATTTATATTTATTTTCATTTGCGGTGCTGTTCATATGCAAAAATTGTTTGCGCAAATCACAACAACGAAATGACAACACAACAGTGGCAGCTCGAAAACAAATAAAAAAACAAATAAACAATAGATGCTCATACTGCTACTGATGCAATATACCTATGTATGTGCACTTACATATATATGTATAGTATATTCGAGTGTATTGCAAGTATCTAGTATAAACATATCTTAATAATATAGAGGACTACAATTTCAAAACTTAAGTTTTTATAAATTTTATCATACAAGTAGTAAGCTTGATAAGGAGAAATGTTCAGTTTAATTACTAAAATTTATGAAAAAAAATCAAAGTTTGTGACCAGTTACGACGTGATGAACATTTGCGCCACTTTAAAGCACATAGCTGTTTTTAAACACGATTCAAATTTGCTTTTGGCGGTATGGAATCGTATGCAATTCGTACATAATATTGTCGTTAGGCCTAGATGCAATATACAGAAGTTGGGGACTCGATCAGTCCGGTGCTCCTGTTATGTAATGAAAAATGCCCAGAAACGCTTTTATTGGATTTTTGTAAAAAAATTAATGCAAAGTGGTGAGTGGACACGTATTTTGTACAAACCATGAAATTGCCAGAGATGCAAACTTTTTTTTCGGTAAGCGTTTTAACTTGACCCAAGTTTCGATAGGTGATATCCAATGAAAGCTCGTATATACAAGAACTAATTTCATTTGTATACATTATGGAAATTTGCATAAAATACCAGATTGCATAAAAATGTAAAACTAACTATTTATCGATTGGAAATTTTTATTGCTTTAACGTTTGAAGGCTGTTGTGTTTAGATTGATAAATTTTTTTGGACCGTCATGCAATAGCTCCGTTTCGTATTGCTGTAATAACAGAGCTCGTTTTTGTGGCAAAGTTGTCCAGCATTCGGTATGATGCAACTTGAATTTGACTTTACCATTTACATAAAGCAATCCTCTGATACTGCTTACTAGTGCTTCCCCAGGTTCTTTACCTGGCCTTATAGTTGTAAATTAAAAAAAATGTATACTCTAAATAATTAAAATATAATGATGTGATGGCCTTGCCTGTCGCATACGACTTATGTAGTCTATTGGTGAATATATAGGTGGATTGAATAAATTTTCTAATATAGAGTGGACGCTGTCTACCTCCACACTTTTTACCTTTGTTTATTATCGGATTCCAATTGCAAGCGATCAAATTAAATAGTGGAATATATTTATGTATTGTAAGTGGTATGTGCATAGATAGGTATGCATGTATTTAGTTGGTTTATAATTATTTTTTACATCTAAATTAAAGCACACTCATCAGATTCGCCTGCGAATTTTTTGACAGCCATTCACCTGGGAGTGGCCAGAAGTGATTCTTATGAACACGGTTCGCATCGCAGCTCACAACGTCTGGATATTTATATCGACGTATCGTCTGGTAAGAGATCATATACCCGTTTGGAACCGAGCTAAAGGGAGAAGGCGCAAATCTTCGCGTGCGCTGGGTTTGGGTCCCGCCACGTTAAAACCCCGCCCAATGAAAAGTAAGAAAAAGCCTCCGATAAGACCCCCTTTTTTGACTACGACCACGGCAAACGTATAGAGGGACTTTGGTTTGAGGGTATTCACCTGGAATATCCGAACCCTTTATGGGGAAAGTGCATATATCCACTGCTGGATATTGTAGTAAAATACTAGGCTGACATCATCGCAGTTCAGGAAATGTGATGGACGGGGCACGTAAAAAAAAATTGTGTACGATATCTACTACAACATCATAGCAAAATTTAGCAGCATATCAGCGTTTCTATGAGTGCCTAGAAGCAGTGCATAAGTGCTGTCCCCGCCGCGATGTTAAAATTGTTCTTGTCGACTTTAGCGTCAAAGTGTGCAAATCGCAACCTAGTTACAGGGCAAGGTTCTCACGCGCCTTTTTGCAATAGAGTGCATCAAGGAATACGCCAAAATTTCGACATCGACATGATGTATTTACGTCGGCTATCCGAGAAGTTTCACTTTCGGCTCTCTACCATGCCAAATCAGACAACTCCTCTTCGTCTGAATTAGTATATGAGCAGTGAGATACCATGCCCCAGTAACTTCGTAGTGGATGTTACCAACCACGCATACAAGCAACTTGAGGAAAAGAGAGAGATATATGATTCCCTGGCTGAGCTGCTCGAAGTCGGCAGCGATGAGCTGGAAGGAAGTGGGTACTAGTTTTTCAGCAGAAATTGCTATTTTCAAACACATCCGATAATTGGAATCTCAGTGTGCTTTGCGCAATCCACAAAAAAGGAGATACCGTTAGTTGTTCCAATTACTCCATATTATTTAGTTCTTGTGAAACAATTGATTGGACCTTATAAGTGTAGCTTCAGACGTGAGAAATCCACCATCAAGGCGACTTTCACAGTTTGCCAGATACTGAAGAAGCCATTAGCAGTTCGACATACGCCATTCTTATGTCGATATTTTGTCCCGTTTTGATGAAAAGAAAGTTAGTTGTTACAGGAATGAGATGCATGTCTATTAATAATTTCTTGTCATCGAAAAAGGAATACGACTATATAGAGTGAGATTGAATATACTGAGTGGAACGAGGCGCAGAGCACTCGGGCAGAGATCTGTACCCAAGTGTATTTGCATTAATCCAATATACATAGTACGCCACCACTACCAGTGCTGAGGAGTTTCTAGGGCTGAACGCTATCGTAATCCCAACACTGAGCCCGGGCTCACACATTGTTGAATTTTTATTGATGGTTTCAAAACTGACCAGCATCTGGTGTCCATATCGAAAGTAATTGCGACGGGCTTCACTTTAATCTAGGCATCTTCACTCCGTATATCTCGTAACCGTCAAATGCAATACCACGTATAAGGAGGCATAAAAATGCATTTATTTTGTTTAAACTATCTCAATGCTTCCGTACTTCACAAATTATAGTAGAATAATTATAGTAGAAGCTCGTATTTTGTTTGCTAAGTTAGAAAACTATCCAAAAGTTTTGAAGAAAATAACTTTCTTTAGTCGTTTGTGAAATTTTCACACTATCTTATATGTAAGTATGTATGTGGTATTGCATTAAGCGTATGCACGGTATTGCGCCTCAAGCGAACATTTGCAGTACCCAAGATCATGGACTATGGTTTGAGGGTATGCACCTAGAATATGCGGACCCTTTATACCAGGTGGAAAATAGGTATACGTGTTCTGTAATCTCAGCCAAGCCACCCTTAAAACATTGGCCCACCTTCTAGCTATTTCCTAACAAATGCTGATATTCAAGCTCAATTAATTTTTGTTGGAAAATATAACGCGCTTTTTTCACTATGAGCAGAAATTTGCATCAGCTAGATTTTAAAAATAATACATACATATGTCTGAACAGAGTTTAAATGTATAATTGAAATGTGAATTTCTCTAAAATCTTTTAGCTCTTTTTTTATTCAGTTTTTACTTTTTAAAAATAATTCTTTTATTTCAGGGTATTCCTGTCACGCAGAATGTCTCGTGGGGCATCATCATTTCTACTCGTTCGCTTGTTCTACAACGTGTTGCACGCGTACATGCTGGTTTCTATGCGTGTGCAGCGGCCAACGACCGCGGCGAGACACAAAGTTCAATGGTGAATTTGCGAATACGCTGTAAGTGCCAATCACAATCACAATTACGATATATGTATATATATAGAATTTAAAATTTTCTGTCGTGCGTATTCTAGTTCTTATTCATAATTTGCATAAATGCGTTAAAGTGATTGCAAAAATGTAAATTTACTTAGTTACCATTGAAGAGTTGCAAACGAATATGCCTCTATTTGAAATATCACACAATTTTGGTTGTATTGCAATCGATTGGAAAGTGTCACATTAAAATGCATGTAACACTATTTAATACGGCCAAATGAACAGTGTGGTGACATGTTCGTTTGCATTTTAGCACAGCTATTAGACTCGATTAGACGACGGCGCATACAATGTGAATGCCATCAGCAATAAATTTTCCTCTCACAATAGATATTTGTTTAAGGGCGAGTGTGTTTAGTTTGACCATGTGTATGTATGTATGTTGTATGGGCCGTGAGCTCAGCTATATTGCCAACCATCGATTGCAATAAAGGGTCAGTGACATGTACTGTAATTGCGAACGTTTGCTTCGTTGAGGACGTGTGCGGGTTGAGGACGAATTTACCAACCAAATATTTCGAATTCAAATTAATATGATTTTTTTTTTTATGTATGTAGTTATATGTATAGATACATAAATATTTACATACATATGTATGTAGTTATGCATGTAGCTTTGATTACTCTTGCTGACTTTCGCAAAACTAAAAAACCAAACTAACCCAGTAATAGTGAGGGTTCCTGTGTAGTAAATTAATTTTCACTACTTTTTAAGAAACTCGAATATGTAAAAATGAAAGTTTTGGGAAATCAAGTTTGAAATTTTTTTTTACGAGTCTTAGCTCTACATTTATGCAATTTAATATGCAAAATATGTGATTTGTTTGTACGCATGGTATTGCGGGTTTTGGTATAACATAGAACATCCAAATTTTAATCAAGTCAACCCAGCTCAACTCAAAACTGATAAATTTGCACATTCGTGCTTGTGGCATAAGAAAGGTGACGACGATATGTACATAAATATACATATGCTCGCGCATTTAAATTTGTACATATATGTAATTGGAAATTTTAACAAACGTTTTCGTCGACTCGTTGTTGCATATCACGGATGTGGCAATAATGTGTCATTTCGAGAGTAAAATGCATTATTTTGCAAAAATGACAGCGTTAATATTAGAATTTTCTGATTTTCCAAATGCTGCAGGAAACAATTACAACAATAGCAACAAAATTACGCACATGCATACAATTTTGAGTTGAATTTGTTGGTTGAATAATAATATATTAAATATATAAATAACTTCACTTATTACATTTAGGTATAAGTACTATATGTAAGAGCATCAAATTGCAAAAACTACATTTGAATACAAAATTAGAATTATTAATTTAGACAAATGTGTTTTTGGTGGCTTTGCATGCCCTGTAGCGAAAAATACTGGGGATTATGTAATGACTTTTCTGGTTTTTGATGTACTTAAATGAGTAATGATTGAGTAAAAACAGATTATCTATTTCGTTATTGTATGTCCATTACCTGCTTTGTATATTGTTCTAAGATTACATACCTTTAAAATTACCTTGAAATGTAAGGTTTATCAATTTTTGTGTGTGTTTTTCCTAAAACTGTTATCTCTTTAAAAAAGTTTTAAGTGTATTTTTCGGTTCTTGCTGCCGTGGAAATTGATTTCTTGACGCAAGAACAGCAAAAAACAAATAATAGCTTTCTAAAAACTTCTTTGCTTACAGTTTTCAGGTCAAAAAGGTGAGACATTTGAAAACCGCCTACCTTTGAAGGTCATCCTAAAGAACAGGGTAATTTTTCTTTCAACGGGACTACATTTCCTGAATTCTTTATCCCAAAAGCATTAAAATTACGTTACATCTAGTATTTGGTAACTTCTCATAATTTTATAATTTACCAAAAAATTATATAGTTGTCTATTAAAAGTAAGTAAATATTTGACTCCCATACCCTTTAAAGTGTTGCTCTGCGTACGATCTAGTGTGACTGTGTGATGTTATTAGGCATGGTTTCCTGTAATAAGTATTTAAAAAGGGTTATTTTGATGTTGAGTGAAGCAGTCATTTTCTGCGACGCACGATGCGGCCGCTACATAGAGGGCGATGCTCAAAACTCATTTTTCGGAAGTCGGTATTTAAAATACAAAATATGTACCAGCACAGTCATAACAAAGTGCATTATTAAAGGATGTTTTATAATATTTAAGGTTACTATTAGGTTAGAAGGAACTATGCTGTTGGAGAAACAATGTGTGTTGATTGTTTAACAACTTTTCATTATTACACATACGATTTCATTGGTTTCGGAGGTATAAGGAATAACTTGTAAGGTTTTTTCTCTGAGTCTTTTTTAGTTATAACCGCTAGACTTTATTTATAAGTAAACTTAAAAGATTTGCACAAGTACTTTGCCAATTTTTTAGAAAAAATATGTTTTACCGTCTGTATTTATGATTTACTTCCATTCTGATAAATTCCCAAGTAGCACATTGTTGTATAACTTGGTTTAAATTTACGCATTTTGGTATAAATCTGATTAATTGCACCAAAATTCACAAATTTACACCAAGTTATAGATCAGTGTGCTACTTGAATTTTATTCCAGACGTAAACCATTTTTCTATTAAAAATCGGGATTTGTGTAAATTAATATTTAAAAGCCCTTCTAAGCTATTACAGAGCGAGTTCAGCCATGTGGAAGAATATATTTCAAACCGCAGCGGTCTAGCCTCAAAAAGAAAGAAGCTGCAACAATATTTTGGACAATTTCAAGAGTAGCGTTACAATAAAATGAAATATTTGCGCTAGACACAAAAACCAATTTTATGAATCCGAAAAATACGGATGAGAAAAACTCGTAAACAATATCCAGTGGATTTAAAAAAGATAATATAAATTTCAAGTCGCTGTATTTTGATACTGCGGAACTGTGTAACAGCCCTTATCCCAGAAATTCAGTAACAACAACAGTGGACTAAATTTTAATGCATAGTGCCGAATTTATATTGAATTTCCTTTCACCGATTTAACAATTAAGTGAAGATGCATAGGCATCGCGAACCAAAGAATTTGAAGCTTATCGTGAACGGTTTAGCCGAAAAACCTTAAGGCAAGCTAAACTTGAAGATGTATTTCCCCGTCCAAATGTTTTTTTCCGATCCTCTTATTACAAGTGTTTACAAACAGTAAAAAAAAACAGCATTTGGTAACAGCAGAATTAAAAGACATGCTTTAAGAAGAAAATTTCGAGCATACACATACAGAATCTCATGCCTCTGAAGATTAATTAAATTTTCATCATGCATTGTACCGTTTTCTCAATGTCTATATTGCAAGTAATCTTAGTGTACAATGATTTTATTTTTCAGTGCTAAGAACACGAACGGATTATCTGTTTTTATTCTTTTTCACTCATTACATATTTTTCAATTTAATAAAAAATAAAAAAATTTAAAACAGTGTTAGTGCACAAAGCAGTGTTTTAAATTTATAAAAATTATACAATATTTCTCTTTTGGATTTGTCTACAGCATTTTTAGGAGAAAAACTCGTTTACAGAATTTTGAGCATCAACTTGTATGAAGCGATCCATTGTGCGACGTACAGAAAGAATAGTTAGCTTGAACCAATTTCGCTGAAATTTGGCATGTGCTCTAATTTTTCTTATATCTAGGGAATTATTAAATATGGCTATTGCCATGCCAGGTATTTCTTTTCTGTACCAACACACGCCAATTGGAAATGTCAAATGAAGTGAAACCCTTCTCCGTCACAGAGACGGTCTTCCTCTTGCCCTGTTACCAGCATCACGATCCGTGTTGTATATTTACATAGCAGGAACATTTCTATCCGACGAAATGATTTACGTTTTTCCTTTTATTTTCTATTATTGGTCAATTTTATGGATAGTTGTTAACTGGTTGTTCGAAAACGGCTTAAAACCCTGAATCGATTTCAATATTTCACGCACAAGAGCAGACTTTTGAAAGTAATTTACATAAATAAATAGCAGTATCCTATGAACTACGAATTATCCTTTATTAAATAAAAACAAACCTAATTACAACACGTTCAACAGTGGATGTTTTGCCAGAAATTTGGCCATATTTAACATAGTGTTGCTCTTTAGCAACGTAAAAGGGTGTGTTTGAGTATATTTAATT